ACGCCATGGATCCATCGCAAGAACGGTTCGGTCTCCTGGAATGGTCCACGGTAGATCGGGCCATCCGACGTGCGAAATTTTTGGAGATCGACCCGGCCTGGAGTAGTCTGTACTGGACGAGCGTCCACCTCGTTCTTGACGTTCATCGCTAAAAGTAGGTCCTCCAAACGGCCGATGCGGGCAGCGTTGGCTTGGTGAGCTGCAAGAAAGATTTGACGGTCCGCGCGACGGTCTGCTATAGCTTGCTGGCGGTCTTCCTGTGCCTGTGTGATCGACGCATGTTGAAGCTTGAACACCGCCTTGAACCAATCCTTGGCGGTTTGCATGTCGGACGCATCTGCCGTGCGTGTCGAGTCCGTGGTTTGTTCTTCACCTTGAGTATTCTCGTCGGGCATCTTGTGCGGGAGAGCTGGTAGTGGTGGGAGTAGTTGAAGTAGAGGATTGAAGAGTGGCAATACGTCGTCGTTCGGCGTTACCCGCTCGAAGTATGGCTTCAGGGTCTGAGAGTGGAAGGAGGCTATTGGCTGGAGCGTTGCTCCTCGTGGGCATAAATTAAGTCGTTTAATGAGAACCGGGATCGATCTAGTTGGAAGGGGTTGTCGGAGCAGTGTGGTCGAGTTGGCGAGTAATTCGGGGTAGACAAAGCAGTAAAGAAGCGAAGTTTCAGTCGGTCGGTCGCAATAATTTCAGTCGAAGAAATCAAGTCGCTACGGTCGTAATGAGAAGTCCAGTCGAGCAGTCTTAATAAATTCAGTCGGGACAGTCGAAGCAGTACAGTCGGGGTTGGGCAAGTCCAGTCGAGGTAGATAGTTTGTTGGTGGTTTGGTGTGAGAAAAAAAAAGTGTAAGGACTGGATATGTCCTTCACTGAATGAGCGGAGAATTGGCGCGGAGAGGGACAAGGCTGAAGAAGCCGGAGCAAGATTCTAAGACCAAACACTGGGGGGGATTGATTACTGGCTCAGAGAGAATGGGGGTCAGATCTCTCTACAACCTTTTAGAAGCAAAACAAGGAAAACAGAAAAATGAAGATAGGAAATTGGGGACTCACCTGGCTCAGAGAGAATGGGGGTCAGATCTCTGCTGAGCCAGGAAAGTGAAACTGAGAATAGATGTACTAAGGGAGGGGTGACATGTATAGGACTTCCTTGTGAAACCCAACTGGAGGAGGGGGTTTACAGCTTGGATCTGACCCATTGGAAGAGGATCTGGTTCAATGGGTCAAGATTTGACAAGGGTGCAAAGTTGATCACCACCAACAAGTGCGGAAACTCAGGATCCACGCCAGTTGTGATCCGTTGTGGTGTTGCAGCCTGGAGTCGAAGCGATGAGCTCGATGCGCACTGCGCCCTACTCTGAGTGCATACTGAATTATGCAATATCCGTTTTTTTTCAACGCAGAACTTTCGACCAAGAAATACCTACTGACGAACCAGGAACAGACGGAAGAAGGCCGACGGATCCACATACTCAAGCAACTCGGAGATTTCCCTCTCAAGGCGGCAGGAGAAGAACCAGCTCCCACGTATTCCTCACATAGAGTAACATCAGCATGCCCAAACAAGGCCTGGGCGCAAGAAGCCAGCAATTTCCAGGATTGCAATCGACTTCGATTAGCAAGGACACTCCTGTCAAGAGGCCCAGAGATGAATTTATCGATACGAGGTTCAGGGTATGTAACTAAGCTGATTCACATCCCATATCCACTTATCTGACCTCCTTATGTCTTTTAGTTTACATCGGCGGCCTCGCAATCCAAGAAATTGAAACCCAACTTGTCAAACCTCGTGTCCTCTCATAATGGGCTTACCTTGGAATCGGAAGAAAAGCAAGAACACGAATGCCACTTCACATCTGCCTTACAGACAGCTTCACTCGACAACCTATCCAACCCATTCAAACGACTTCACAGGACCATCGAACCCATCACTCGGAGCTTGCCATTATTAATCTACCATCAAGAACAAGTTGTACATGCCTGCTGTCAAGCTCTAATCGTATCCGATTCACCCTCTTCCGCTGATCAACCTGACCGGTCTCCACAAGCCACAAGATTGTCGGGTAAAAACAAGAGGAACCAATCTTCCGACTTAGAAAAAGAAAGAAAACGTCACCTGATTCAGGCAAAAGAAGCAGTCAATCTTGTTGCAACCAGCGTCCTAGATCTATTCGTGCCCTTGATCTTGGATCTTTCAACCTCATTACTCACACCCTCCAACTCACCCACGAACCTTGGTCGATGTCCATTCGAAGAACTATTGATAACACTACTCTATTTCATCAACTTGACTGACGTTGAGCCGACCGCATTATCGAAAGCCCCCGAAGTAATCGTCCACCTTTTCAAAACTTTGGCCAAGGACCTCACTCCATCCTTGTCATCTAACGATCATGAATCTGATGAAAATTCCCATAGACTCAAAAGTATTTGGAACCTCGTTCGCAATGCGCTTGGGGCGCCCTTGCCTGATTATCAAGAACTCACCAAAGTGGACGAGGAGACTCCCGAGGATGAAGGATCCGACTCAGAAATAGAAGATGATGTGAATGAAGTTGAACATGATCTACTTGAAGACCCTACCAACCCTCTCGAAGAACCCACGAAACCGATAGACGAGGAAATCGAAGACGCAGATATTGACTCACCCGAGTTTAACCAAGTTGACCCAAACGATGCGACTAAACCACTGGATGAACTGACACCTGATGGCCCTAAAGAGTTCGAGACGACGCAGCTACTCCATCAAGTACTCAAGTCAACTACACCTTCTAGTCGCAGGCTGGTGGCGACCTCTTTCTCATACCTACTCCGTAAAAAAGGCATCTCAGAGCCTCTCATTCGGTTGATGCTGAATGATTTAAATACTGTTGAAGGTGATGAGATCGCGAAGCACGGTACCTTACAAGCAAGGAAGCAGAAGGTTCAGGTCGCTCGAAAGGGGACCAGTGTACGATCTTTGCTCGGCGAAGAGCACGGTGGTGCTCGGGTATTTGCCGAGGGAATTTGTTGGGCTCTAGGGGAGACATGTAAAGTAAGGCCTATCTGGTACTTGAGCCCACTCTCAGCTCTGCTAACATCCCAGTTGCTATGTAGTCTATAGATCATCGCTTGCATTCTCGCGCATCGGCCATCCTAATCGCCGCCGATTCGCAAGTGGTTGAAACGAGTCTTCGGGCACAACAAAAATCTCTTCAGCAGCCCATCTTGATCTCAAGCGTTCTAAGCTCTTTATTGATTTCAATAATTCATCACACAACTGCCCAATACTTAGAACCTGTTCTAGAAGCACTCACCACCAGAACGACAGAACGGCTAGATGCAATCAAACCTCCGCCTGCTTCCAGTTCAACCGAGACCAGTTCAGTGGCACTCGAAACATCCCTCCATTGCTTGGCTACAGTGGCCGGTGTTAGAAATGGTTCCAGGTTATCACGTGAGCCCACTAATTTCATTGCCACTTTCCGTCTATGCTGCACGTCGTGTATACTAAAGTTTGTCCCCAAACACAGCCACAAAAAAGCCAACCCTCTTCAAGATACTAGGCTCAATGCTTGGTTTACTTTCTGATGAAAAGTTTAACCACACAAAATCACTGAGTTCGACTACTGCGCTGTTGTCTTTGAACTTGTTGAGTTCCATCAAAGATCACTCCGAATTTTTGGGTACACCGGAGAACCGTAAGGTGCTCGACAAGATTTTCCAACTTGAACATCGTCCCCTCTCCATCGAACATGTGTTCAAGCTGGCATCATCCCTCCACCGAATGAACTGGTCATTGTTCGACGACTTTCTCCTACCCAAACTACTTGCCATCATCCCTGACCAACTTTCACATTCAAATCTGAATGCATCATCAGAGTCGACCGCAAGTCTTTTGTCTGATCTGCTATCAACCAGAAATTCTAAATTGTTCGGCAAACTGTTTGATTTGATATCCAGTAAGATGGCAGAGGCGACAAAAGTCATCCTGGATCATCTTTCAAGTTTCCATCTATCATCACCCAACACACCCTTCGAACAGCCTGCCTCACTTAGCATGTCACTGAAAGAATGCTATGATTGGGTTTCTATTTCCTCGCTCTTGCCAATTGAAAATACGCAAGTCAAAGATAATCAGATTGAGGAATGGTGTCAGCAAGTTCTCATCATCCCATCGCCATCTGATCAAGACGTGCCCGAGAACCTGCGAAGAAAATACATTTCCGATTATGAATCCGGCGCTCCTATTAACCGGACCATGCTATTATCCATAATGATGAACGTGGCACGTCGCCTATTTTCTGATCAGCATTCTTGCTTACGTGCTATGCTACTGGATGGCCTGCCGTTTATCGCACATGTTTGGGGGTGGCATCGAGAGATGTTGAAGATTGTCCGAGACATTTGTGAGGATGTTCAAAAAAGGTTTGCTGCTCTACTTATATCGACAGTTTACTAGACAGTTCAGATTAGGTTAACATTTGTTCGGGTTTAGCTCTTCCATTTCTTTGTCTTTTGAGTCGATGTACCAACCACTCAAAGCTGCTTTGTTATCCGAAAGCCATGTTATCCGTCACCTTACGCTCGAGATCTTGTTGACCACTGCTCCACCCGCATCACCCTTGGAATCCTTATTGAAACAGTGCTTGAAGATTGAAGACACTCCGCTGCTGGTCGAAAATGCTCGAATACGCCAGATGCATATTCGTAAACTGTCGACTATGGTTCAGACGAATGGTGAATCAGTCTCGTCAACTGATATTGTCGACCTAACCCAACGCGTTTTGATCGGTAAGTGTTTTGCTGCCAGAGTAACTAGTTCTTCTGGGGGCCGGCTAATCTAATATCTGAGTTCTGTTGTGCAGCACAACTCAAAGTACATTTCCAGCCATTATGGGAAGAATCGATTCAGTCACTTACAAATCTGAACTCAAAGTATCACGTTAACTTCTGGACGCTGGTTTGGGGCCAACTCGATCTGTGTCTTCGGGATTCCTCAGAGCTTTACTTTACTCCTCGAGTGCAACTCATCAATCAAACAAGCGAGGACCACACTCATTCATCAGTTTCGAGATTTACGGATCAACCTGAATTCAGGTGCACACACTTGGACAAGTTGGTCGATCATTTTTCTTCTGACTTTCGAAATCTTACTTTAATAGCTGCATTCGAGGTATGTATTGCAGATGTCTACTCGCCTTGATTCTTTTCTTCCTAAGCTAACTGACCGACAATTCTTCTTAGTATCAATCTTTGGATTCTCGTCTTGACATCCAAAGCTACGAGGCCCATTTAGTAGATCTGTTATCCCGCAACCGGATCGTCGCTGAAAAACACAACAGACTGATCATCGAGGCATTTTTCAGTTATTGTCAAGCTAAAGATGAGGATCTGGAACAAGGGCACTTGTTGGGTAGATCGGCCCGAAGTCGGTTACGCAATTGGCTTCGGATGTTCTCTAAGTTTACCAACCCGAAGGCTTTCCACCGCGCCCAAGATTTGCGGGTCGCATTTTATGATTTACTTGCTGATCCAGACTCAGACCTACGCAGCTTGTCCTTGGAATGCGTATTGACCTGGCAGGATAGTAGCCTTGTGAGACACCAGGACGACTTTCGGAATCTCTTGGACACTTCTCAATTCCGGGACACCCTATTGAAAATGGCTCACGCAATCGAAGATCACGTTCTCCCTGATCACGAACGGGAGCAGGTTATTCCGGTTTTCATTCGCATCCTTTTCGGTGCCCTGGTCGTATCTCCCGGTCGTTCTTCTTCCTCTCATAGTAAAAGTCTGAAGAAATCTGCGATCCTCTCCGCCTTCAAAGGATGCTCCATCCAAGAGATAGACTTACTCGTTGAATTGATGCTCCGGCCACTCACATCTTCTGGCAGCAACAAAAATAGTTCAGCTTCAGTGGTCAAAAGGCAGTTGGGATTCTTATCTCTGCTTGGTGATGTCATGAAAACATTGGGCCGTCAGCTTGTGCATCGATGGGAGGATTTTCTGAATCAGGTCATGCGAGTTGTTCTCGACAGTCAATCTCATATACATTCTCTGGGTAACGATGTAAACTCGCAACACGTCTTCCTTGAGAGTCAACTGAAAAAAGTCCGAGTTCAAACTTTACATCGTCTCAATGATTTTTTTCAACTTTCACCTCCAAGTTTTTCGTTTGCCAAGTGGATCAATTCAATATTCGAAGTGCTTATCAATCCGAGACTAGCTAGTTTCGCCGCGGAAACCGCTCAAGCTCCCTCTGCTCTTCTAGAAATCTTTCATACTTGGTCTGGTCGGAAAGATTTGATGCCGATGTTGATTCAATACAACTCGCAAGTTCTCACATCGGTTTACCAAACATTGGCAATTGTAAACGTGAAGGCCCCAGTGGTGAAAACAGTGATTGCAATCCTTGAAAACATACTACGTAATCTCGAATTGTATCCAGCTGAGCTTACAGCAGAGCAATACCTTAAACCTTACTTCGATGTTTTGCTTCCTAATCTTGCCGAATTACTAAGAAAGGCATCTTACTCAAGCTCCTTAACAGCCTCCATCTCGCGACAGCAAATTGCCCTCCTATCTACACTTGCACCATATATCACCGAGACGAACCATTCAGAAAGATTTTGCGAACTCATCTTGCCCCTTCTACTCAAAAATCAAGTCGTTGTCCCAGAGCATATTCAAGCCGATTTGCTTCTTCTTTTATCAGGCTTTCTATCGACAGCTCCCAGGGTAGCATCTTCAGCTTCATGCTTCAACACTCTATCGAAGTTGCTGGGAACTGTTATGAGCCGAAAAGGAAGGCTTTCACTGGTTGGGGCGGTCGATTCGATCTGTCACCACTCGAATCACTCGATCAGCCCTAGAATCATCAAGCTTTTGCAAGACCTCAATAGCTTTTCGACAAAACGAATCGACGAGCCGGACTTTGAAAGAAGATTAAACGCATTTTCTCGACTGAATAATTCCGAGGATGAATCGAGCTCAGCACTGACTCCGAAAGAGTGGGAATTACTCATCCAACACTCACTGTTTCAGATCCGAGACCCTGATGAACTGAGCTTGCGAGGAAGTGCAGCTTCAGCTCTATGTCGCTTCTTGGACCTTGCCGAATCCAATCAAGATGCTGGAGTACAAATGACTCTGAAGGCAATCATGATCCCCGGCCTGAAGAAAGTGTTGCGGTCCAAGCTTGAAATCATTCGACAAGAAGCCCTGACTGTCTTCGCCGTTGCAGTCGCAAAGCAATTTCCTACCATTTCTGAGCTTGAGGAGATGCGGTGCTTGTTGGTCGATGGGGATAAAGAAGCCAACTTTTTCCTTAACATCTATCACATCCAAGTTCACCGAAGGATTCGAGCGCTCAGACGGTTAGGAGATGAAGTAGAAGCCGGTCGCCTGAGCAGCAAGGGCTTATTGGATATCTTCCTTCCCCTGCTTGCCCATATCTTCTTGCCAACAGATTCCTCGAGAACTGATCCTGATCTGGTTAATGAAGCTATTCGTGCAATTGGACGAATTACCAAAGTTTTGAATTGGTCGGCCTATAACGCAGTATTACAGTTTTATGTTAAACTTATTCATAAGCCTACAGCGGTAAATAAGATCACGGTCCGAGTAGTCGTTTCGATCATGAAAAGTTTTCACTTCAATCTCCACGAGCAATCAGATCCGGCTGGCACGAGAAACCTGACGTCTACTCCAGAGCACGCGCTCGGCTTTGTTTCGGGCAAGTTGATACCTTCGTTGATCAAATTTATGGAACAGCAGAAAGAAGACGGACCGGATGAGAGTCTGAGGATCATGATCGGAGAAGGCGTGGCGTTTGTGGCTACATTCCTTCCGGAAAGTGCCAGTCAAAATGCCATCTCAGGCATCATTTCTTCTTTATCTAATATTCTCAAATCTACTCATCAAGAAACGCGTCAATCAGCCAGAGCTACCGTCGGAAACATTGTCATCCTATTACCAGCATCTTTTCTTGCGCAGGTTTTGAAAGATTTGAAGGCAGTCCTCCTTCGTGGGCCCCAGTTACACGTTTTAGCCCACACGACATATTCGATTCTATCTAGGGCCAGCGAATCGTCAAATGATTTCGAAATCGACTCACACGCTTCCAAGTTGCTCATGTCTATAATCATTGATGATCTCTTCGGACAACCCTGGCGAGACCGACAGTCCAAAGAACTCAAGGCGAAGACGAAGTTTAACGAGACTAAGACCTCTCGGTCGTTAGAAAGTCTTCAAATGATTGTCAGCAAACTGGCCAATTCTGAGATCTTGACTGATATCTTGATTTCTTTTCAACAAGTATTGGAGAATACCGGACCAACAAAAATCCTGAAACAGGTCGATGAATGTTTCCATCGGATCTGTGCTGGCATTGTGGCGAATAAAGAGAAATTCGATGCACCAAAGGTCTTGGATTTGTCAAAAAATCTAATTTCTGAGAATGCTGAATACTTGAAAAACAAATCTCAGAAGAAGAAGTCATACGTCATCAACCCTACCGATCATCGAGTTGTCCTTTCGACTAAGTCAAAGGTTCATGACGGTCATTACGCTGCAAATGCTCATCACTTTGTCAGTCTGGGCCTCGATCTCTTCAACACGGTCTATCGAAGAGCTGTTTTCGACCTGCACAGTCCTGAATACCTTCCGATGATCGACCAACTGGTTAGCGTTGTTGGCAACACTCTCTACACCCACAACACCGAAGTCTTGGCTCGAGGACTCAAAGTAATGAGCATTCTAATCAAGCTCCCCCTGCCTGAGGTCGAGAGATCTGCAACTATCATCGTCCGCCAGATGCTCTCGGTCGTTAATCATATCGGAACATCTCAGTCCGAAATTTCTCAGGTGGCACTTAAATCCTTGGGTACAGTCATCCGAGATTGCAAGAAAGTGGAGTTGACGGAAAAACAGTTAACAGATCTGTTGAAGATGATCGTGCCCGACCTCGAGGATTCGGATCGCCAAACTACATTGTTTGCACTCTTGAGAGGAATTATGAGCAAAAAATTTATGGCACCTGAGCTTTATGATTTAATGGATCAAATTCTTAGGTTGCTGGTCACCGCTCAATCCAATCAGGTTCGAGAGATTTGTCGATCGATCTTCCTACAATTTTTGTTAGATTATCCTCAGGGCAAAGGTAGACTATCTGGCTCTCTCCAATTTCTCGTCAAAAATCTTGCCTATCAGCATGAGAGTGGGCGACAATCAGTTCTCGAAATCCTCAACGCTATTAACATGAAGTTCAGTAGTGCACTAGTCTCCCAGAATTCGGATCTGTTCTTCGTGGCTTTGGTAATGAGAGTAGCCAATGAAGGTTCGGTCAAGTGTAAAGAGATGGCAATCGAGGTTCTGAAAGTCATCTGTCGACGAATCGAACTTGGGAAGGCCGGCAAGTACTTGGACATGTTGCTAACTTGGAGTCAAAATCAAAACGGTCCTGTAGAGCTACGAAGGACGGCTCTACAACTTCTCGGAGTCGTAATCGAAGCTCGAGGGGCTGAAGACAAAATGAAACTTGAAAGTGTGCATTCCATGATTTGTGTGACCCTCGAGAAAATTGCGGCAGATTTTATGGAAGAAGAAAGCGATGTGACGTCTGAATCGACTGGATTAGATTGGCAAACGATTTATTACTCTCTCCAAGCACTTTCTAAGCTCTTCACCATCGATGCCGGTCTGATTTGTCATCCTACGCCTCAGAACAAGTTCCCAGAATGGAGTGCGATCCAAAAATTCATGTTGTTTCCTCATGCTTGGGTGCGCTCGTCCGCGGCTAGGTTGATCGGCACCTTACTCTCTGCCAGTGTAGATGAGAAACTGTGGCTATTTCAAACCGATAACTTGCTTGCTATCGCTCAGAAATCTAGTCTTCAACTTCGTAGTCAACATTTGGATGATGCCTTGGCCTTGCAGATCGTCAAAAACCTGTTCTTCCTCCTTAAGACTTTGCATGAACGTCTCAAGTCGAATGCTCCCGGCTCAAACATAATAGACCCTACCTCGGACAATCCTCCTGCGGTCAATGGAGCACAACCCTCACTCGACAATGAAGACGATCAGTCCGATTCTGAAGAAGACGACCATCAGCACGAAAATCAAGAGCCCAAAGGCACCGGGACTGAATTCATTCGTCTGATCAAAAGGTTGAGTCGACAAGCAAGCATCGCCCATGCCAAGCGTCCTAGTGTGTATTCAAGTGATGCAGTAAGTCTCCACCCGATTCCTCCCAAAAATAAAAAACATTTTTCTCGGTTAGTTTCTTGCATACTAATTTATCTGTTTACAGGGTCGATGGTCTATTGAGGCAGCGTCCGTGTTGCGATGTTTCGCGGCTTTGATCAATCATCTTTCGGTGGATGATTTGTCCGGAATCCTTCGCCCCTTGATGATCCCCATCTTCCGGATAATCGAAGATTCTAACATAGCCGATCCTCAAATGGGTACTTTTTTTTGTATCTATCCCCTTTATAAGCTCTATTCTAACCAATGTCTCATTTTTTTTTGCGTTCACAGAGGAACTCCAAAATCTTGCCAAGGAAGTTCAAGAGTTCTTGAGAGATAAAGTAGGCACCACTAAGTTCTCGCTAGTGTATGGTCAGCTTCGGACGATTGCGATCGAGAAACGACAAGCTAGAAAGAAGTTAATCGCTTTGAAGGTCTGTTCATGCCTCCATCTTACTTTCTCTTTCTCTTTCTTTTTGACAATGATCAAGTGGAAAAAAAAATATCATCATCTTGATCTTCAAAAAAAAAAAAAAATTGACCTGACCTGACCTGACCTGAACTACCATTTATTTCTAGGCGGTTAATCAACCTGAATCAAGCGCAAAGAGAAAAATCTCTCGATCGGAATCTAAGCTACGGAATAAAAAACGCAAACAAGAATCGTTTTCTAGACAGAATTCTATGTATGGGAAATCTAAAGCCATCTAATCTACAAGAAATGTGCATATCCATATGCATACGGCTATGTATAAATCCAGTTTGACACGTTGGGTCTAAATTGTCCTCTGATTCTTTGTTTCTACCCTTCCCTTTCAGTTTGTCATAATGTTTTCCATGTTTTCTTGATTCTTTTATGATCTTCTCTACCTGATATATCACTTTCCTCTACCTTATTTTTGTTGATCATTTTTCTATCATCTTCTTTGTTAAGGGCTGATTTTTCTTTTTCTTTTTTTTTCTATTTCCTTGTTGCATTTTGAATTTCTCCTGTTGCCTTTTTCCTTTCTTTTTTTACATGTTGAGATCTCCAGACCTATTAATGAATAATGACTTGCCAAAAACTGGTCAGAACTCAGATTTTGATGTTATGATAGAGCATAATTACAAAGCATAGTGGTATGTTGACAGCGCATAAAATAGATTGAGAGCCAGATGAGCGTTAGGGCTTGAACCGCAATCTGTCCATTTTTGAAATTACTTGTTAGGGCTAGAGTAGAATCACAAACCAGCTGGCTTGTAAATGGACTATTGTCTTCCCCAAAAACCTTGGACTGGACTCAATTTTTTATGGATTCATGTTTTTTTTTTCTCTTTTGAAATTGGTTTTCTACCCAGATATCCCAAAGCTTTCAAGTCCCCTCTCAGCTTGTGTAAGAGCAACTCCAGTGGTCCAGGGGGGGCAACTTGCTTGGGTTCTGTAGGCCAAAACCTCAGGTCACAGAGGTTGCGGATCAGCTCCAATAATGGACTGGCAATATGTACCTCCACCTGCCAAAGTACCAACCTCCCCATACTACATTAATCAACCCACCACACCAGAACAATGGAAGATTGGGGGTGGGATCAATCTCAATGATAGTTTTTTTGGCTGGTTTGGTGGTTGCATCATTGGTTGGTTTTTTTTTTTTTTTTTTTGGGGGGGGGGGGTTAGTTTTGATTTTTCTTTTCTTTGGGGTGGGTGGGTATGTTGAAGATGGTGGATTGGTGTCAGCCATTGTTGTGGGGTGTTTGGTGATGGGCAATATGAGTGCCAGACACCCACTCGCGGCTCCGTTGGAGTTGCTGTAAAACCCCCCACCTGTGAACAACCCCCAAGACACACTCTTGAAGCCCCAGTCTTTCGCACAGGAGAGGCTTTAGAGGGCAAACTGGACACTAAGTGTTGTCTGCGGCGGGTGTATCTGGAAGTGTAGCGCTGGCCAGGCGGTTCCCAAAGGGAACTCCCCCCAGGGGAGACTTGGGCCATAGTTCAACAAACTTCTGTGCTGAGTTTCTAGTGTTTTGGTGGGAGTGTCACAAGATTTGGAGTCATGACGCTCCCTCAAAGGGGAGTGATAATCACACTTCCCCCCCCCCCCCCTTTGCACACACACTCCCACTCTCCCCTCTCTGAGGGGAGTGTGGAACTGCACACCAATTGAAATTGGCATACGGGTCCACACGCCAGCAAACTGCAGGGGCATATACCAGGTTGGCGTGCGGGTCTGCACACCAATTTCCTTTGGTGTGTGGGCCTGCACACCAATATGCAGGAGCTAAATACATATGGGTTTAGCTCCTGGGCTATCCCATAGGACCCAGGCCTGGGTCCTACAGCAGTTCCCAGAAAGCTTGCGTTTGTGAGCTCCTGGGGTCCCAATTTTCTTTTCTTCCGCACTTTTTTATGCCTTGGAACCTGTACACATGAATTTACAGGTTGTGAATCTACTACTGAGGCCTCTATGGGGCTCTGGGGACCCGGCTGTTGCCTGGAAAGGGCTGGCAATGCAGCAAATTGATGACCGGTTCCGACTCAAAAAACTGCCATGATTCTGATGGTCCAACTCCCAAATCTTCAACTTGAAAAATGTGGGAGTTGGGCCATAATGCCTAGGGTACTGTGGCTGTATGAGCCCATGTACAAAATGAAATAAAAAGTGTGGCACAAAAAAGAACTGGATCCCAGGGGCTTGCAACAGCAACCTTTCTGGGAGCTGCTGTAAGCAACGGTGCCACAGAGACGATACGATACGGTATCAGGCGTTTATCTGTATCGTCTCAGAATTTGAATACCCAAAAATACCGGATTTGTGTTGTCTCACTTTCCTGAGACATATACATGTATCATATTTGAAAAGTGAGAAATGTATTCTGTATTGTCTCAGATGACTGATCCCACCAAAACCGTATTTGATACTTGAGATATTTGGCCGTATTGAAGAAAAAACGAAAAAAACGAAGACATTTTTTTTTCATTTTTAAATCCAAATCCGATACAATGTATTTTTTCACCAACCAAGGAAATACTGATACCGGTATCAGGCTCAAAATAAATACGATACGATCCGATACAAATACATGTCTCGTATCTGTGGCACCGTTGCTGTAAGGGTGTCTGATGTTTTTTTTTTTTTTCAAAAAAAAAAGAAAAAAAAAACCCCAGCTTGAGGCTGGGAGGAACCCCCCCCAAGACTCCACGGTCTTAAGGCCAGAAGGGGTTCCTCCTGGCCTTGAGACTTTGTACAGTCTCAGGGCCAAGAGGAATCCTTCTTGGCCTTGAGACTTTGTGCAGCCTCAAGGCCAAGAGGAACCCCTCTTGGCCTTGAGACCTGTACGGTCTTGAGGTTGGAGGAATGCCTCCAAACTCAAAGTTGAGGCAGCAGTCCAACCGCCGGGAGGGGTTCCTCCTGACAAGCTGGCTTTTAAACCAGCTCATTGGAAGGAATCCCTTCCAACAAGCTGGTGTACATACCAGCTCCTCAGAAGGGATTCCTTCCAACACACTGGTTTAATCATCTCATTGGGAGGAACCCCTCCCAACAAGCTGACTATGCAGACCAGCTCCTTGGAAGGGATTCCTTCCGACAAGCTGGTTTAATCAGCTTGTTGGGAGGAACTGTTGAGTTTTTCACTTCTATGGTCTACTCCTCCCTAAAATCACCCTCTTTTTCCCCTTTTATTTTTCTCTCTTTTTCTTTCTTGATTCATCCTGATCTAGACTGAATTATAGTATTTTGTAGCTGTTTTTTTGTTGAAATCTTATGCACTTTAGTAGTCTAATCAGAACTCCCAATAGCAATTTTATCAACAACTCATGTCTTTATGATTGATCTCCTTCTTTTTCTATTTCACTATTTGATTCATTGAAAACTGATTATTGAGAATTAATGCCTTTCAATATTTGTGGTTTAATCTATGTTTTCCAGTCTCTTGATTAATTTACTGACATGACTAAAAGAGATTATGAAGGCTTGTCTCATTGTTTATTTCAAGAACTCATATATTTATTCCTCTCAGTTTTTATTCAAAACAATGTTTTATTCAATTCTCTTTCAACCACTTTTTGACCACTTGTATTTAGTCTATTTGAACTTGACTAGATGCCTGTGAATAAAAGAAAAATATCAGTTCTTTCATTCTTTTTCTGTGAACCCTTCCCAAAAAGGAATTTCCTTCTTGTTGGCCCTCTGCCTCTTAAGCCCATCAGTCCAAAACTTCAACAGGAACCCCTCCCAACAAGTTGGTATACAGACCAGCTTGTCAGAAGGGGTTCCTTTGAACAAGCAGGTTTAAAAACCAAATTATTGGGAGAAACCCCTCCCAACAAGCTGCCTATACAGACCAGCTTGTCAGAAGGGATTCCTTCCAAAAAGCTGATTTAAAAACCAGCTTTCCAGGAGGAACCCCTCCTAAAACGCTGGTGAACAGAGGCCTTCTTGCCAGGTGGAATCCCTCCTGACAATATGGTGTACATACAACCCATCTCACCGGGAGGAATCCCTCCTGAAAAGCTGGGATCAAGCCAACTTGTGTGCAGGACACCAGCCTGCACACTTTTTTTTTCTGGCATACAGACATGCACACTTCTGAAAAGAGGTGTGCTTGGCCACATGCCAATCAGCATGCACAGGTGTGCTGATTTCAATTGGCATGCAGGCCCAGACTCCCCTTCTGAGGGGAGTGTGGGAGTGCGTGCGCAAAGTGATTATCACTCCCCCACACAGACCTCTTGGTTGTTGTAAAACATGAAAAGTATCTGAAGTTTGAAAAAATTTGAACTCAGGCAGCAATTATAAAGAGACTTTTTAAAACATTTTGAAAGTGTTTTGAATTTTGTTTTTTTCTAGTTTTCTTAGTAAATTGATAGCCGGATCAGTTTTCAAAACTGGTTCAATAAAAGTGTGTAATCATAAAACAAAGCTCTGATTTAGCCCACAAGTCCCTGGTGGTTCTGATGTTTCCAGACTTCTCTGCTCAGGACTGCAACCAGCGGACTGGGGAAAGGAGCAACATCTGAGCCAAAAATCTGAATTTGAGGTAGGACAGGTGTCAGCTTGCTACTATGGCAGAGACAACCTGTCATAGCAAATAAAAAATAATAAATTACATAAAAAATCTAAGTATAAATTAAAAATATTACATAAGTAAAAGAAACAATATTACTTATGTAAATAAGATAAAAAATACATAAAAATAAATAAATAACTTAAAAAGTATAAACAAAACCTTTAATATTATTGCAGATTCTGAATCAGCACACAATTTAACCTAGGGTACCTCAGCCAAAGGTACCCCAAATTCTAACTCCTTCATCCTGTAATACAAGCATGAATAATTAACAGGTACCCCCAGATCACGGGTACTGTGACACTTCTGCATAATGCATAATGCATATACTCCAAATCCAGTCTCAGAATTGGAGTATTGTGCACGGTTTAGAAGATAGAGCAATGTGGAGTCCTGTCTCCAAGCCCCTGTGCCACGTAGTCATGCTGCGCACCAGTATCCAAGGATTGGGCCACAAAAGCCCCAGAATACCCATTACACGTGGCAACAAAGCCCCCACACGTGTAATAAGAATGTGAACAAGCTAGAATATCTATGAAAATACTACAGTAACCATATTCCAGTGGGTAACACGTGTAGCAAGCCTCAGAAGACACCTCTGGAATATTCTGTGGCCCATTTCCAAGGAACCTGCTCCACGTAACAGAGTAGCCCCTATCCACAGGTTCCCATGAGACATTCTTGGCTGTAATAATTTCGTGCATGACCCCTTGGAGCTTCTGGAATATTATCCCCAAGGTTCCAGCCCTGGTTACATCACCATGTGGGCCAAAATGGGCCCAAAAGCGCCCCCAAGTCCTACTAAGCTCCCCTGAGCAACCCCTGAGGCCTTCCACAGGTATTTAAAGGGCCTTCTGACCGCCCAAATAATGATCCCCCAGCTTTACAATACCTTATAGAAATTTACTTACCCTTTACAAGTCCCCTACACTTGTAATTAGCCTAGTTACTACTATAAATTGCTGTTATTAAGCCTCAAGAACCCTCAAGAAACTCCCCAGTTATCACCCAGCACCCAAAATCAACTATTCTGAGCGCTCCCAACTGTCCAGTTTCTACTAAGAAGATCCTCAAGACCCCTTTGGATTATTACTAGTAAGTAATAACCCTTTCTTGAAGATTTTCCCCTAAAATTTATCTCCTGGGATTTAAACCACACCTGCTACAGGCCCCAGTGTATCAGGTACCTAAATCCTCTGCTTTTTGCACGATACCTTAGAGGGATTAAACCACCCCTGATTTATCAGGCCCCTCTGGTTTAATTTATATTAAATTTATTAATATAAATTGGCCACTTTTTGATTTAAATCCATAAATTTCACGTAATTCTTTTGAATTACCTGTACCAGTTCTATCCCAGAGTTTTTGCCATAAAAACTCTTACTTTTTGCACCTTGTGTAGCTAGAGGACACGTGTCTTGGCATCACATAGGCTGACAACAGGAGAGTGCCGCTATCGGCCACTGTGCAACGGTGGGAATGATTATTTCCGCACAAGGGTTCTTCAGCATGTATCCTAGTACACAGACCTCTTGGCCATTGCAAAAGATGAGAAATGTTCTAAATTTTAAAAAATTCAAACTCAAAATTGGCCCTCTGGAGCCAATTTGCAGACTTTTTGAAACTCAATTGTAAGAAATATCTTTTGAGATCAAATTCAAAGCATTTTCAAAATAAATTAAAAAAATCTCAAATATGTGTTTATACAGCCAAACCAAGAAAGCTTGCGGTCTTGGTTGACAGAATTTCTAATAAAAAAAAACCATTGACTGGAGTTGGAAGGTTTGGAAGGATAGATTGAGTGTACAGATTGTGTACAGATTTTATAATGCTTGCCAACATCAGCAACGGGACCTGGCCTGCCACTGTGCTGGGGGGCTGAGGCAGGGGGAGAGACACGTTGGGGAGCAGCCAGACCAAGATTGCCATCAGGATTTGGATGGTCTTACCCTTGTGAGCTGAAAACAAGGGATAAAAAAGATAGCAAAAAATCAAAAGTAAGCCCTGTAGGCTGTATGCAAGTGGGCATACAGGGTGGTGTAGTCTTCCAAAAATTCCAGCTTCGGACATTGTTTTTCTTTTTTTTTGCCAACCAAGACCGCAAACTTTCTTGGTTTGGCTGTGATTGGGGCCTCAAAATAAATTGTAAGCAATATTTTTTGAGAATGAATTCAAAACATTTTGAAAAAAAAATCTCAAAAAGGTGTTTATAATTGTAGCCTAAGCTCATTGCTAGCTTGATCTGAGGAAGGAAATGAAAATTGGAGCATAAAGGACCCCATTTGGGCATGGGACAAAAATCTAACAATGGTCATTTCAGACTGATTTGCACTCGTTGTCCAATTCTTTTTGCGAATTAAAGGTTCCCGGGTTCTTTGGTGCAGCACAAGAAAAGATAGATGCGGCCATAAATAGTATATACGTAGTCAGCTTATGAGCACAGTGCTAGCGGCTGTATACATGAATACTCGGAGACGAAAACGTACATCGTACGAGCAGCATTTGATTTGTGCTGCTTCTGGGCAGATATTATTGTTGGCACTGGATACTTCAGAGGCCAATGCGTTATTTGAGTCAGCGTGATTGGTGGTAAGATATGTGGAGATAAGCTTAACGACCGGATAGCTTACAAATGAACTTGGTACCACTTTGTTCCTCACACATCTTGACTCGTCCAGTCGGGCAAGTGTCGGATCGAGCGAAAGCACTTTCACCCTGGATCAAGGCGACCACCAGGCATTGGAACAAGGTTGCGAATCGCATTTTGGCCGAAGAGGATCTAATAATTACGATTTACGACACTAGATGTTCAGCGATTATATTTTCCATGATTATTATATACATTAGGCACTTAAGAGCTACTTACGATGGATGATCAGTCGAGGTATTTGCTTTGATGGAGGAGACAAGATTGTTGGATGAGGGTGACCTTCCACGGCGTGCTACCGCAACAACTATTTATAATCTGCAAGTACATGTAGCAGCTAGCAACAGGACTCTTGTCAACTCCGAGGCGCGTTTGCCCACTCTTCCGGTAGGTTCCGGGCTTTTGAACTGTGGCGCGTTCATCTAAAACTTGTCTGCTCCATCGAATTGTGTGATGGGGCACCTGCACAATCCAGCCAAACTCCAAATTCCTGGTTCTTCAATTGTCCCATCCTGTGATCGCGCCTGCTTGACCGGCAAAAATGTTCATCATACGCACGAGTACATATTTACATACGTATAACATATTTGGAGGCCAACATGAGGCTTTGGAGTCAAGTGGAGAAAAGTTCAAGCGAGTAAAATCCTGTCTGTTTTCTGGAACGGTGACGGGAGCGCAGCAGGAGTTATAGTGTGTCCATGTTAGGTGTACGGTAGGGCGCAGCCCAGAGTTCACCGGTGTCCATGGAGCTGCAGCTCGTAGTTCCTTTGACAGCCGGGCGCAGGGCTGAAGCCCCACACGTGCTTGGGGATACAGCCAGGCGGTATCCCCGCCGATGAGGCCGGCTGTCGAAGAAGGGGAAAGGTCTGTTGGACTAGAGCCGGTAGGTATACCTGGGCTCGTCCATGCCTCGACTGTTTCCCCCCACCATACGAGTTTCCTCCTTCCTCGTCTGCACCTTTTCCTCTCCGCCAGCGTCCTATTTTTTCTGCACCTCCCGCCCACCCTGACAGAAGGGGGGGGGAGAGGAAGGGCGGCGAGACACCGGGAGGGTGAGGGGCCTAGCACCAATCCCCCTCCCTCCTTCTCTAGCTTCCCTTGTTCTATCTGCTTGGAAGCGTCGTCTCTCTCGACTCAAACTGCTCTGCATGACGAGTCGGAAGATAGGGCGCTTCACTCGACCCATACACGGCTCACTCGGGGGGCCACTGAAGGTAGCCCCCAGGAGAGCCAGGGCGCACTACACAGGCCTCCATAGGAGGCCTGAGCGCCCGATCTGTGTCAGAAGACAAGGAGGCGTGAGATGTCCCCTCGCCGTCGCAGCACATTCGGCCCAGGCCTGGCCAGACAGGCTCATCACACGCCCCGTCCACTTCCTTCCCCTGGCGGAAGAGGAAATGGATGGACTACATAGACATTCACGGCAAAAGCCCTGGCGCCGCAGGGCGCATTCTGAACTAAAAGCCTTGCTGGCCGGCGTGTACAGGGAAGATGTGACTTGAGCCTTCTGGGAGCGGGAGCCGTGACGATCGTTAAACAGATGCCCGGCTGGGTTGGGCTACATAGCCGAGTGATCCGGTCAAATTTGAAAAAAAAAAAAACCCAGGGACCGAACTTAACACAGTTAAGTTCGCCCAGGGACCCACCGAGCTTGACCGCCAAGGCCCAAGACAAATCGAGCCCCTCGACCTTGGGAGATTGCATGAAGCGGCCAAACGGCTGGAGTTGCGGGAAATGAATCTACCAGCCTTTCTCTGGTAAAACAATCTGGTTATAATCCCTCCAACAATTTGACTCCTGCCACCAATCAGCCCCTTCCTGGATCATCAGACTTGAGCGGTGGCCTACTGACAGATCACTCTCATCCAGATTTTAAAACTGTCCCAGTTGGATTCCCAATTTCAAAACCTTCTGATCTTGTCATGAGTGCTCTCTTGACGGCCACACCCTCTGCAGCTCCAACTCATCAAGTGCATCAGATAGCTCAAAGAAACAATCAAAATCAATGATATAACAATACATCAGGTCAACAACCAGTGTTAAGTGGCAGTATGGCCAGTTGAATATCACATCAGAAGAGGCTAGCTTAATGAGAGGACACTTAAACTTCCAATGTTATCTTGATTCTGTTCAGGCAATTTCCTTCCCCACCACCTTGACAATGTCAATGCCATTGCTAGCTACCCAGCCCCCTGTGGCCGCAAACACAGTGGTGTCCCTCAGCAGTATTTCATGTTTTGTTCCTACTAACCTTTAAGGATCTTGAAAGTCCTGGAGGGAGTAGGAGTTCGAATTTGGGGGTAGTTCCAGGCAGCAACCCCATCTATAATGTTATGAAAAGCTTATTTATGAATTAACTTTCTAGTTTTTCTTCATAGGGGCTTGGTTAAACAACTCCCAAAAAGTGGAGAGCCGGCTCCCAAGCCCCAGAATCCCCAACTTTTGGGAGTCAAACCCCCAAAACCTTTGACTGGTTTGGGAGTCAACTCCCCCTAAAAAATATTAAAAAAAATATAATCCCCCGGTTGGTTTAGGAGTCAATCCTCCAAAACCAACCAGGGTTTGGGGGTCAATGAAACAAAAGAACCACACAGAAACGGCCAGGAGGATTCCTCCAGGCCGCTCAGATTACACAATGATGGCCAAGAGATTCCTCTTGGTAATCAAGAGTATACACTCTCAATGGCTGAGAGGTACACTCTTGACGGCTGAGAGGTACACTCTTGATGGCTGAGAGGTACACTCTCAACAGCTGAGAGTCAGGATGAAAGTGGGTAGGGTCAACCCGCAAGTGACCCGCAACCCGTCGGGTCTTGGGGCAGGTTTGGGTTGACTTTATGTGAAAAAAACCTAAGTCACCCAACCCGCATGTGACCCGCTTGATTAGCGGGTTGGGTTCGGGCAGTGTGTTTTGGTTTTGGGTTGGCCCAAAGACCCAACTGCTGACACGCTTAAGGGCAGTCCGGTGACCGGTCCGTGGGTCGGCTCCAGATTCACCCAATCAAACAGAGCCTGGGATTCCAGACTCTGTTTGATTGGTCATCAGATATCAATATGACTAGTACCGCCACCATGCTACGACCTATACGAGTCACAACAAGGGCTTCAGGAATTTGCAAACTTGTATTAATTGGAAGGACGATTTAATCAATCATCACAGCCATGTAGGCCATCCCATCCATATTTGAGGCTTCAGGATCTTGGGACCTACGATGGCTTTCATTGAACTTGCAATCAAAAATCAGACAACCGACTTTCATCAAAGTTTGAAACCGCGATCAATAATTGGGAGCAACTCTCCATTGCCAATTCCTCAAGCCTCAAGCCTCACACTACAGTCTACCATTGTGAGCGACTCTCCATTAATCAAGCCTCACACTACAGTCTACCATCTGGACGGAGATCAATTGAAATTGCTCCAAGCCTGACCCGGAAAGTGACCTGCAACCCAACCCGACCCAACCCTGACCCGCATGCTCCTCTAGGTTGGTCGGGTTTGGGCAGCAATATTGACTGTGTGACCTGATCTGCCGGGTTGGGTCTGGGCACTGTTTTTTGACCCGAACCCAACTGAGAGGTACACTCTCAGCTGTCAAGATTCTGCTCTCAGCGGCCAAGGTTATTTCCCTTGGCCATCAAGAGTGTACAACTTGGCCGTCAAGAGTGTACCCTCCGACAGCCAAGGTGATTCTTCCTCTTGGCCATTGTTGTGTAATCTGAGCAGCCAGGAGGAATCCTCACAGCTGCTTCTGTGGGGGTCTTTTGTTTCATCAAACCCCAAACCCTGGTTGGCTTTGGAGGATTGACTCCTAAACCAACAGGGGGATTATAATATTTTTAATATTTCTTTTGGGAGAGTGAACTTCCAAACCAGTTGAAGGTTTTGGGGGTTCGACTACCAAAAGTCGGGGATTCCGGGGCTTGAGAGTTGGCTCTCCACTTTTTGGGAGTCATTTAACCAAGACCCTTCTTCATATCAAGAGAGTTATTGCATATTAATTATTTGTAATTTATCATTAACCAGTCTTTTGGATACTCTTAAGGATCTCTAAGGCTGACACAGTTAATCATTTGATCCTGTCAAGTATGACATTGCTTTTTTTCAGTGTTAAGGTACAAGAAGATGTAATTGGTATGTTGAGCAAAAAAAATTAACTAATGAAGAGGAGAAATTAAAGAGCAAACAGTGGATTGTTCTTGGCCAAAAAAAAATGGGTGCAAGAGTAATTGAAAAAAAAGTTTGATGTGTACAACTCAGAGATGGGGATTTGGTGGAGGGAAAACAAGGCTGCTGGAAGTTGGGGGGCACCTGAGCTGAATTCCACAACATCCAGGGAATTCATATGTCAGATTGTTACTGAAATACAGAACAAGACTGACCAAAAACTTAATAAAATACACCTTTTTGTTTTATCATTTTGTTATATTATTAATCCTAGTAGTTAGTCATTGTATCCTGCCTTTTGAATTATTTAAGTAATATACAATAATAAAAAGACAACTTGGGAAAGATTTCAGAGCTCGCGCCAGAGAATCCGCAGCAACCGCAGACAGTGTTGGGATCTTGGCGTCATCGCTAACAAACTAAGAAAAAACTTCGACACCGCCAGTCATGACCTCATGACAAACAAAGAAGCCTTGAGGACCCAAAATGAGAATGGAATCCCATACACTATTAACAACCAACCAAGGAGGTATAAAAGGAGCTAGAATTCATAGGTCAGAAAGGCATTGAATCATTTGACCTCCATCCTTTTTCCAGAACTATTTCTCTTCCCAACCTCATAACACTAACTACTGCTGTTTTTTATACACACCTTGTGACTAGGTAAAAACACCTACCCTTAAACTCTCAAGACCCTGCACTCTAGCTCACCGCCGCCTTCAAGGGACCAACCTCGTGATCGGACACCACTAACGCCTTTGTCCCTAGCTTAGAGGAACTCTGATCTCAGTAAGTTCCTCTTGCCTTTACAATCCATATTCCCTACTCAGATACTACAGACCAAATACTCTCGCACTTTGTCAAGACCCCGTAATAGCTGTCACCAAGTCTTACTATGACTTAGGCTTGTATCCTCCAAGGGCACCGTAAAAAACCCCATAACCTGGGCCCCTCGGTTCCTTTCTTTATCACTCTAAACTCTAGACACCCTACTAACTCATCACCCGGTGTAGCTAGAAGACCAGCAGTCTTGGCATCACCGCGGCTGACATCATAGGACAAAAATTGCCACCTGAAGCAAACCTATAGAGCCTCTCCTGTGTGTGAGGCTGGGGCTTCAAGAGTGTGTCTTGCGGGTTTTTCACAGGTGACAACACTGGGTAGTTAAATTACCTGTAATAGTAGCCTAAAAATCAAGTAGTGAGTTTCCACTCATTATCATCACTAAGAAAGGGGTTATATTGGTTACAACCCCCGCAATAACGTTTCCCGGAGGCGACCAATATAAGATCAGTCACAACAGTGGGTCAATACAATTTGATACAATATTGGGACCCATTTTGTATTGAATCAATCCCCATTATCTGGACTAGTCGTTACTGATAGAAGTAACAGCTGTCTCCGTGCCCGGTGGGTATTTTAGCCAGGGTAGTTTTTTTGGGGGTTGAGGAAATTGGTACCACAATGGCCTATAACGGCCTGTAATGCCCTGTAACATGTTTGGCCCCTGTACCCCTGAGTTTTACCCCTGCATTTTCTTGCTATTGTGAATAACTGTGAAGGATAAGGCCTATTGTCCAACAGAATCTCTCAAAACTGCCTCTATTCCTTTGAAAAAAAACCTTGGCTTTCAGCTATTTGAACCCCATTGCTCCCACCACACTTTTTTCTTCTCAAGAGTATCAACAATGCCACCTAAGTTGACTAATCAAACTGCTAGCAGTACTCAACTTGAAGATACAAATGCCAGCGGATATGCGACGGACCAGTCTCAACTCCGCCAATCAAATAGAGCCTCATTGGTGGTTGTAGAACCAGGCATGGTCCCAACTGGCTCAGACTCCCAGGTCAAATTAACCAAACCAGCTAGAGACATTGCGGCCCCTTCTATGGAATCTGGCCGTTCAATGGCCCCCCGGAGTATGCCCAAGAAAAAGAGGTTGATAGAAGAGGAGTCATCTGAAATGGAAGCCCCCCCCCCTGATACTATTGTAAAAAAGAAGCCAAAGCAAAAGACCAAAAAGGCCCCGGTGGACCAGGTGTGTGTACAAGGGGCATTCAATTATGTTAGAAGTGATATTAATATTGCAATACCAAACTTTTCTGGTTGTTAGGTGAACTCAAATGATGAAGCCCATGATTTCATTCAGGATACGGATGAATCAATCAAGATTACTCCGAGGGAAGTTAAAAAAAAAGTTGGAAAAAGAGTATGACAATGTCTTAGATTTCTTCAAAGCACCGGTTTGGAAGCAAGGCGACAATCCCAACACACAGATAAATTATAAGTGTAAATGGTGTGGGAATAATTATCAAGCACAAAAGACTTCTCATGGGAACTTGAAGGTGGAGTGTAACGGTTCAACTCAGTCTGAGAAGAAAAGCTACGGCTGTGTAAATCAAGCAATAGCAAAGCTTTCAGGTTCAAAATTACCTCCCTCAGTGGCTGAGCGCAACCTTGCACAAGCCCATGACGGGGGTGATCCTAAACAGACCATCATTGATGGTTTTCTTCAGAACCAGCCAAATTTTTTCAATGTTGAGTTTTCAAGTTGTCCTCTACCATGAGTTGCAGTGTCCTACACCTGCCGCAGCATGATGAGACAGACACACGCAACCAACCAGCTGCCTCTTCATAAAAAAGACAACCAGTACCGGTTGATTGTTCTCTAGACTTGTCAAGTTTCTCACTCTCACTATTCGATCAAGACTCAAGACTCACAATCTCACATCAAGATCACTCATCAAGACCTGACTTGGTAAAGTTCGACTGACTCTGTCCTCTGTTCACGTTCTCTCTGATCTCATTGATTCTCCGACTCCTTCCGCTATCAAGATTGACTCACAAAACATCAATACAATCTCATCAGGCGGCTTTATCATTCAGCAACAAGATCACTTCAGTGCTGTTTGTTGTTTTTCCTTAACTCCTTCTCTCTATTCCTTGTTTCTTTCATTGTCTTTGTTTCATGAGAAAATCACTAATCTTTTCTTTTGACTTGTCTTCAAATCCTTGTTATTTTTCTTTTCTATTAGTCTTGCTTCTCAAATAACTCCTGCTTCTTATATCTCTATCAAGTCCTCAACTTATCTAAGATAGTTACAATCTCTGGCGGTATGCTCTCTCTTCTTCTTTTATTTCTTTCTTTCTTCATCTTATTATTTTTATTTATATCTAAAACTTGTTTCATTTTCTTCAGTCTGGTTTTGGTTTCTAGAAATTTCATTCAGAATTCAATATTCAATTGTGTTCTAAACCAATTGATTATGATCTGGCAGATTTGACAGGCGCTGCCATGGGGATTGATAATGACACTCCACCCCCCTTCGCACACACACTCCAACACTCCCTTCTCTGAAGGGAGTGTGGGACCACACTCCAATCAAAATTGGAGTGCGGGTCCACACTCCAACAATCTGCAGGGGCAGTCCCCCAGCAGGTGGGAGTGCAGACCTGCACTCCAATTTTGATTGGAGTGTGAGGTTGCACACCAATGTATAAGCAAGGCAGGCTTGCTTACCTCGTTTTCAGGCTGGCAATCAGCCTCACATGCCAACCTGCAAACCTAAACCCATAGGAATATGGGTTTAGGTTGCGCCATATCCCACAGGACCCAGGGATGGGTCCTATGGAGACAACTACCCAGGCTTTGAACCTTGAACAGACATCCGTTCAAGGTTTGAAGCCTGAAGGCCATCATCCAAGGTTTGAATCTTGGCCGATGGCCTTGAAGATCCCTGTAGGACCCAGGTCCTGGCTTCCTACAGGCATTACTTCTTGCTATAGGGAGGTGTATGGTTACCAAGGGATTTATCGATTCGGCAACTACATGGGGTGCCTGACTGTCTTCTCGGGGGCTTTGGGTAGGGCCACTGCGTAGATTTTCCTGATAGACTGACAGTAAACATGTCAGGTGCTGGAGGGACGGGGAAACATTACAGTCTTGAGCTCAGACAGAATGATCCGAGCTCAGGACTTGGACACGGGTGCGGGGCTGGACTGGAGCCCTACACCAAGACTTGAAGAAACCAATCAAACGGTATAATCCCTGTAGGACCCAGCCCTGGGTCCTACAGGGATCTTCAAAGCCATTGGCCAGATTCAAACCTTGGGATGATGGCCTTCAGGCTTCAAACCTTGAACGGATGTCTGTTCAAGGTTCAAAGCCTGGGTAGTCGTCTCCATAGGACCCATCCCTGGGTCCTATGGGATATGGCGCGACCTAAACCCATATTCCTATGGGTTTAGGTTTTCAGGTTGGCGTGCAAGGCTGCATGCCAACCTGTAAGCGAGGTAAGCAAGCCTGCCTCGCTTATACATTGGTGTGCAACCTCACACTCCAATCAAAATTGGAGTGCAGGTTTGCACTCCAACCTGCTGGGGGACTGCCCCTGCAGATCGTTGGAGTGTGAACCCGCACTCCAATTTCAATTGGATTGCGGTCCCAGACTCCCTTCAGAGAAGGGAGTGTTGGAGTGTGTGTGCGAAGGGGGGTGGAGTGTGGTTATCACTCCCCCGCTGCCATGGTATTGGATTGACAACCCAAAACTTTGTGCGGCTTTTCAGTACACAAACCCAAAGGCTGTTCTATACAGTCAAAAGTGGTTGGCCGATGAATCAAAAAAGCTGTACTTGAGGTTAAAGAAATCAGTGTTTGATGAGTTAAATGTAAGCTTCCACTTTATTAATTTCTTGCAGCTGTTTTACCAAGACTAACATTTCTTGATGAAGACCCTTTATACAAAGTTCTCCCTAATCCATGATGTTTGGTCAACAAAGGGGAACCGATTTGCCTTCATTGGGGCCTCAGTAGCTTATATCAAATTGGATTGGGAGTATACAATCCGACATTTAACTCTTAAAATGATTCCATGGAAACACTTTGGACACTTACTTGCACGGCCCATTGCAAGTCTCCTCAACAAGAAGAAATTATTTGAAAATATGTTGGCTCAGACAATGGACTCTGGCTCAAACAACAACACCATGGCCGTCAAGATGTATAAATTATTCAACTCAAACCAGCCACCAAACACGGACTTGTGGGATCCAATGACTATGCACATCCGTTGCTTCTGTCACGAGCTGGCATTGATAGTCAATGCCCGCCTGAATTCTCTATTGTTAAAAACTCTTCCTCCAGAAAAAACCAAGGATTCTGTCTTGGGATTCTTCCCAATTTTGGGGAGAATCACTGAGGAGGATGAGGAAACTCTTGATTGGCAGGCTGGAGTAGCAGTTCCTCCAGAACCAACGGCAAGCACAAATCCCCTTGACAATGTA